ATTCCCGAGAATCCCTCTGGCATTCCCGAGGATCCCAGCACGGTCTCCTGTGGGCAGGTGCTGAGGATGGGCCCTGGGAATGTCACGAGCACGGGAGGAGGGAAGATGATGACGCGGGAAGCGCCGCAGGAAACCACGCAGGGCTGGCTGGAGCCGGAGGCCGCTGGCCCCGGACACGGCCCCTGGAATTCAGAACACATCTGGGAAGAACCAGGGAGAACCTGCAGCCAGGACAGCAAAAATATCCAGGAATTAGAAAATGTATTCCTGTTTATTTGTAAATCCCGGTGGGGAAAAAACCTTGCTCTACTTCATGTTTGCTTTAGTTTTATTTTACTTGATTTAATCCAATTTTAATTGGATTTTTAATTAAATATTTTTTTATTGCAAAAAATATTTAATTCTTTAATTTCATTTTTAAAAATTTAATTATCATTGTATTTTTAAAATTTAGGGGTTTTCTTAAAATTTTATTTCATTTTCATTGTTATTTTTAAATTTCGTTCAGTTTCTTAATCTTAGTTTTTTAAGTCCAGTTTAATTTTCGTTATACTTTTAAAATTCAGTTTTTAATTGTAGTTTTAAAAAATTATTGAACATTTTAAATATTGCTTTGAAACTGAACTCCCAGCTCAGTTTCCCGTTTTTCTTACCCACCTCATCCTTCCCAAAACATCCCACCCTGGCTTTTTCCAGGCCTCAATTCCAGGATTTTCCATCCTCCCCAGATGATTTGCTTATCTCAGCCTGCCCAGCCCTCTCTGGGATAATTACCCGGAGCAGATTCCAGAGTCTGGGATCGCTCCCAGCTCCGGATCCGCGTCCGGAGCGCTCCCTTCACCCTGACAGCTCCAAAATCCCTGGAATCCTGGAGAAATCCTTCCTCCACATGAACTCCACAGGGAAATTTTGTGCCCAAATTTTTTTTCCCCTGGACCCTGGATTCACATTCTTGTGGCATTAATTCCAGAATTTCTCCTGGGATTTACCTGTCAGGGTTCAAAGCTGTGGGATGCGGATGATTCCCAAAAAATAGCCCTGAAATTTTTGTCTCTGGAGAAATCCAGGCTCTTCCAGAGGCTCCTTTGGAGGTAGGTGTTGGCTTAAACTCCTCAAATTCATCAAATTCCTGTTTTTTCTCCAAGGATTCTGCTGGAAAAGTCCAGGGGAATCCTATTATTTATCCGATGGGGATTTCTATGGAGATCAGATGTTTTTTTCAGACAATTCCCGAAGTTTTTGGATGGGAAAAAAAACAGTATTGGAGTTTCTTTTTCCCAAAAGTGCTACAAAAATGGAGTTTTGCACCAAAGAAATTCCTTGGCTGGTTGGTAATTGGGAGAAACAACTTTTTAAGGAAAATGAGCTCAGTTTGGATCATTCTGTCAGGTAAATAAGGTGGAAAAAAGATTTTCCTCCGTTTCTATCCCATAGAAAATAAATTTGATTTATTAATAATAAATTTTTTTTGCAGAAAAAAAAGAGAAAATCCCAGGTTTTCTCTGATTTTTAATGGAAAAATACAGATAAAATATTGCTGAGCATCCTGACCTTTAAAATCCCTTCCATCCCAAAACATTCCATGATTTTATAACAGACTCACCCTAATCCCACCAGAATTAAAATTAAAGTGACTTTTATTGTTAGTGACAGTTAAATGATAATTACCACATTCCAGGAGATTTTTTTTTTTTTATTTTAACAAGAATTTTTAAGCCCAAATACCCAACAAAATAATTCCCAGCAGGGAATCTCCCTTTGGAATTTTTGGAGCCACAGAATTCCCAAGAAACCCCAATTATTTATTTCATGTTCCCAATTATTCATTTTGATTTCCCATTTTCCCCAAATTATGGGATGGAAGGGAGAGGGACTTACCAATATTCCAGGAAGGAATCACCGGGAATGTCCGGGGGAGCCCCAAATCCTTGGAGTTTTATAAGAACTCCCGAACTTCCAGGAAGCTGAGGCAGCCTTTGGGCGCGAGGGTTTAATTGCCTTCCCCTCATGTGTAATAATCTTAATTACTGGTAATTATTTCGGGGTTGTTTACCCAAATGATTCCCTTTTCCATGGGAATTCCTGTCGTATCCCCCAGGATTCCTGTTGGTTTTTGGGTTTTTTTTTTTGCAGGAAAAGTGAATTTTGGAGGGGATTTTACCATTTCTTCCTAGATTTCCAACCCTGGGATGGTTTGGGTGGGAAGGGGATTAAATCTTGTCCTATTCTAATGAATTTTGTCCCTTTTCCAGGGACAGGGATGCTTCCCACTCTCCCAGCTCACTCCAAGCCGCATCCCAATTTTTCCTTGGGCTAAAAATGCCTCAAGGCATTAAATATTAAACACTAAAAAACATTATTTTTTTAAATTAAAAAAAAATTAATGTTGACATTTTAATTTAAAAGTTTAATTTAAAAGTTTAAAAAGCTTATAGTAAATAAAAAAGTTTAATTTAAAGACTTTAAAAGACTTAAACATTAAAGACTTAAATATGAGAGGAAAAAGATTTAATCCTGTGGAAGCTGGAAAATTTTGATTAATTTCATGGAGTTTTGCTGATTTTCTGAGGATTTGGGTGGATCCTCGGAGCTGGGGGGATCCCACAATTCCGGAATTGGGGTTTTATGGAACGAATTGGGAATTTTATGGAATTCATGGTAATTTGGGGATTCTTCAGGTGGGAAGGGATCCCGCCCAAACCTGGCACGGGATTTTCAGGATATCTCTGGAATATCCCCACTGAGGGAGATCCCAACATTCCCTGGACAATCTGTTCCACTGGAAATTCCTGGGAATCCATTCCTGCCCCTGGAAACTCCCTCAGGCTGAGCCAGAGCCAATTTTGGGGTGATTTTTTGAGGAGAAATCGATTGTTTTGCTCCATGAATATGCAAAACTCCCAAAGTTAGGCTGGAGAACAACATCTTGTTTATTTGTGGAATTTATTCCATGCAGGGGGGAATATTCCAGAGCTGCTCCGAGCCCCGAGGGGTTTTCCTGGGATAATTTGTTATTTATATCACAAGGAGAAAACGATTTGCATGCATAAATTACTCGCGAATATTCCTGAGGCATTTTGACATCCCAGCCTTGTGTGGGAACCTCATTATTGGGATTAATTCCCTTATCCCATTCCAAAAGACAATCCCAACTTCTCACACAGTTTTCCAAAAAAAAATTTGGGGTTTGAATTCCTCGTTTCCAATCGAGGCCGATCCCATCGAGATTTATTATTGGGATTATGATTTCGTATTGGAATAGGATTATTTATTATTATAATTTGCAGATTATTGGGAATTATTGCAGATTATTGCTTCCTGCAAACTGACATCAGGAACCTGGTGTGGGAGTTTTGATTCCCTTTGATTTCTGGAAGCGGGAACTCCTTTGGGAATCGGGAATGGGATTTTTTGAAATTCAGGCATGGGATTTTTTGGGATTCAGGGACAGGATTTTTTGGGGTGAGGATGGGATTTTTTAGGATTCAGAATTGGGGTTCTTTGGGATTCAAGGATGGGGTTTTTTTGGGATGAGGATGGGATTTTTTGGGATGAGGATGGGATTCCCGGTGCAGTTCGCCCCTGTGGCCACCAGGCGGCAGCACCGCCCCGCGGCGCTGTTGGATTCCCTGTGGCCTTTTCCAGGTCTGTGACTTTCCAAGGGCAAATCCCACCCGGAAAACCTCGGCATGAGGGAGGGGCAGGGGAGCAGGAGAGCCTGAGCATTGTCCCCGTGTGGAGACACCGGAATTACGGCAAAATTTCGCTGCTTTGAGACACCGGGTTTTTATTTTTTCCTCTCAACACAGCTCCGTTATCAGCAGCAAACCCACGGAACCAGGAGCTCTGATTTTTACAATTTAACCTTTTCCTGCTGATCCACCCCCTCTTCCCCTTTTTTTTTTCCCTCCTGCTGGGAGGAAAGGCTGAGGGAATTGGGAACGTCCAGCCTGGAGAAGCTTTGAGGTGACCCCACTGTGGCCTTGAAGAGGCTGCAGGGAAATTTGAGAGAGATTTTTTTTTTTTTTTTTTTTTTTTTTTTTTTTTTTTTTCCCAAGGGCCTGGAGTGCCAGGAAAGGGGGAATGGGTTCAGCTTGACAGGGGGCAGTTTAGGTTGGATACTGGGAAGGAATTCCCGAGGAACTTCATCCCCTCCCCCCAGTAAATCCATGGTAGCGAACCCAGCCCTAAAATTGTGATTATTTCCCTTATTTTATACAAAAACAGCAATGTAACAACAGGGAAAGGTTTTTTTCCCTCAGCAGTAGGAATTAGAAGCTGTTTAAAAAGATGGAAAATAATTCAGGCAGAGAGCAGGAATCAACTGTAACCTGAGTTTAATGCCAGTGGAACAACCAGAGTGGAACTGATCCCACAACATAAAAACAGGGCGCAGACGTTGTCACGAAGGTGTTGGGGTGAGGCTCCAAGTGGCTCAGAGCTCCTCAACCTCTCCCCAACAGCTTCCTGGTGCTGGAAAATCCAAATTTGGGGTCGAATAAAATGGGGGATTTGCTCTGCGAGCTGAACACGGGCACGATATGGGGTAAAACCAGGCTTGGGGGGCAGGACTGGGAATGGAGGTGGGGGATCACCCCAAACCAACCCTGGGCTCCAAGGGCAGGGGGGAATCACCCCAAACCAACCCTGGGCTCCATGGAGGTGGAATCACCCCAAACCAACCCTGGGTTCTGTGGAGGGGGGATCACCCCAAACCTGGGCTCCATGGAGAGGTGATCACCCCAAACTTGGGCTCCAACAAGGGGGGATCACCCCAAACCAGAGCTCCAAGGGGGAGGAATCACCCCAAACCTGGGCTCCAAAGAAGGGGGAATCACCCCATGAGCTGATCCATGAGGATCATCCCAAACCTGGGCTCCATGGAGAGGGGAAATCACCCCAAAACTGGACTCCAAGGAGTGGGGGGATCACCCCATGGGCATCACCCCAAACCCCGGGCTCCATCCCCCACGGCATTCCCAATTTTTCCCACCTCTCCCTCACCAGAGCCACTTGGAGGCGGAGCGGCTTTTCTTGGAGTGGCTGGAGCGCTTGGCCCCGGCCGGGGCCAGCCGGGAGGGCCGCGGGGAGCCCCGGGGGTGGTGGTGGCCACACCGGGACTTGCTCAGGTGCTGCGCGGAGCAGCTCCTGCCCTTGGTCCCCTCAAGCGGCAGCGAGCCCTTGGCCACCATCCGGAGCGGGGGACACTCCTTGGTGGCCTTGGTGACGCCGCACGTGGTGGTGGCACTGCTCAGGCGCTGCTCCGTGGAGCAGCAGGTGACAAATTCCTGCGTCGGGTACCCCTTGGAGCAGCGGTGCGGGGCGACCCCGGCCAGCTGCTCCTGCAGGAAGGAGCGAGTGACGCTCTGCTGCGGGGGACACTCGGTGACACCGCGGAGCGGCAGCGAGTAGCCGCCGCTCAGCTCGGGGCAGCGTGGGAGGCACGCGGCCACCTTGTGCGAGCGGCACTCGCCGCGGCACGACGCCGAGGAGCAGCGGATGCCGCACGGGGGGAAGCGCAGCCGGCCCGGCTCGGGGCAGCGCGGAGCACATGGCGGGAGGCTCCTGGCCACGCGTTTCTTGTCGCCGCGAGGGCTCTGTGGGGCCGGCAGGGTCTGGGGGACGCCGGAGCCCCTCGGGCGGGGCAGCAGCCGCGTGGTCTCGCAGGGCTCGGGGTAGAGCAGCAGGCACTTCTGCACCAGCGGCTGGCACGGCAGCAGCGACACCGCGGTGGCACCTTGGGGACAGCTCTGCCAGCGCGGAGCCGGGCCCTTGGTGATGCTCAGGGGGTGGCAGGTGTTGGCGAAGGGCTCGGGGTGAGCCGGGCACGGCGGGAGCAGCTCGGGGATGAATTTGGGGCCCGGTAGGAGGAGTGACGGGCAGCGCTCGCCGGGGTAGTGCATGGTGGAGCGGGGCTCAGAGCTGTGGGAAAGAAAACAGCGATTTTTTTTTTTTTTTTTTTGGTGATTCAGCAGCAAAACTCGCCCGCTCTCTTGGCGGACCGTGACTCAAAGCGGGGCGTGTTTGGGAGGGGAGAGAAAATTCTGTCCTTGGCTCCGGGTTCTGCTCTCAAAAGCCTGAAAAAATCCGGAATTTCAGCCAGGCCGGTTCGTGCCACCCTCCAAACCGCGGCGCTTCACCTCCCGAGCTTTTGGGCGACTCCCGAGCACCTCGGGGCCCTCCCTGGGTCGCCCTTTCAAGTTGAGCTCCCGTGAGATGAAAGAGGAGCCAAAATTACGGGTGTGGCCACCCGGTAATAGCCGGGTGTAGCCACGAAGCCACGCCGAGGCTCAGGAAGGGTTTGGGGCTCTCTGGAGCTCTGATCCCACAGGGATTTGGGGTCTGGGATGGGGCAGGGGCAGCCCTGGCTCGCTCTCACGGCAAATCCCGGTGTGGTTTTTTTTAAGGAAATGCAGCAAAAGTTTCGGTGGAGGCAAAAATTAAAGCAAAACCCCAGGTGGATAAAAGGATTAAATGTCCCAGAAGATTTGGGGTTGGAATGGACACGGAGCAGGTGACATAGGGTTGGGAATGGCTCCAGCCTCGTTGATTTTGGGAGAATTGCACCCACTAAATCAGCCGCCAGTGCTGCACCACTTTTCTCCTCTGAAAAGTCTCCCTTTTCCTTGGAAATCGCAGGAAAAAACATCCCGCTCCAGAAAAACTCCAGTTTTAGAGAGCTTTCCCATCTTTAAATAAGACTATTTTAACCAAAAATGGTTCCATTCCAATATTTTTTGGAGAGCAAAGCGCTAAATTAAAAAAAAAATAAATCTACCTTGCAGATTGTAAAAAAATTAAAAAAAATTAAATTATACATTTTCTGAGCACCCGGAATTCTATCATTCCAGGGTTTAAGGTTTCATCTTCCCAAATCCTAAACGGAGTCACGTGTCCGGCTCGTTAGGAAAACTCGTTATCATCACAATCAAAACAATCATTGTCCAATAAAAACAACGCCGGGAAAACAATGGCAGCAATTACTGCAACAGCCGAAGCTCATTAGAACAAAGCGCCTCTTAATTACGGGGATTGTTTGCGCTTCACACTCGTTTTTAGGGGGTTTAGCTGGGAATTTTTAGGAATTGGGGATTTTTCCCGTCTGAAATTCCGGCAGCTCCTTGCTCTGGTTGGGAAAAAAAAAATTATTTTTTTTTTTTCTTTGTTTGAAATTCCATAAAAGCAGCAGGGAATTCCTTCGGAGGAGCCGCCTCGGCTCTTCCCATCCCACACCCGATTCCCGCCGGGATCCAGCCCTTTATGGAGCCAAATCCTACCGGGAAAAAAAAAGCAGGAAAACCCCCCCAAAAATCCCGTTCCCTAGGGAATTTCTTCCCCATTTTTCCTCAGCGCAGGAAGAGCCGCGCATCCCAAAAAAGTGGAGGAGCATTCGGGGATAAAAAGCAGGATTTTGGGAGTTCCAGGACTTACCTAGGTCATGAGGGGGAAGAGCTGGAGAGAAGAGCCCGGGAAAGGCCCCGGCTGGCCGGGTTTTTATGGAGCCCGGGAATGCCCCAGGGAATTTTGAGGAGGTTGGGTTTGGCTTTAATTGCACCCCAAACCCGGCCACGTGCAGCTCTGGCTCCCAGGGATGTCCTGGATCACTGGGATCCAAGATTGGGCCAGCAAAAAAAAACCCTGGAAAATCAGAGATCCTCGGGGGTGCCAGATTTTCCCGAAATTCCAGCCAAAACAGCCTTTTCCACCCCCCAAAAAAACCCAAACAAACCGTGGAAAACCAAGGATCATCAGGGATGCCAAATCTTCCCAAAATTCCAGCCAACACAGCCCTTTCCATTCCCCCCCCCCCAAAAAAAAACCAACCAACCAACCAAAAAGACTGGAAAATCGAGGATTTTCTGAGATGTCAAATTTTCCTGAAATTCCAGCCAAAACAGCCCTTTCCACTCCCCACTCCCCCCCCCACCAAAAAAAAAAAATCCCAGTGGAGCCCAGCCAAGGGAAAAGAAGGAATTCCTCATTCCCAGGGGAACTGCGGGCAGGAATCCCTTTGAAAATCCATCCAGGAAGGACTCGGGGCATCCCATAATTAGTGAGACACGCGGATTCCTTCCCGGGAATCCAGGGGAGACAAGGAGGGATCATCAGGACAGCTCCCAAAAATTCCCTGTCACAAAGGGGTCGGTGCTGCCCCGGCACCACAAAGGGGGGAAGGGAGAGTTTTTTTCCCCTGGGATTTTTTTTTTTCTTCGTCCCTTTTATATGAATCCGACACTTTTAAATTGCAGGGATTCAGGTGAGGTGCCTGAAAAAGAGGGGAATTTTCATGGAATGGCTTACTTGGAAGGGATCAAATCCAACTCCGGGCCCTGCGCAGAATTCCCAAAATTCCCAAAACTGGGAAAATGTTCCTGGAGCCTTGGGAATGTGACCATTGGTCAGTGCCTGGCCACGAGAATTCCATGACCGGAATATCAGAATATCTGGAGTACTGAAATATTGGAATACTTGGAATATCTTAATATTTAAATATTGGAATATTTGGATATTGGAATATTGGGATATTTGGATATTGGAATATTGGATTATTTGAATATTGAGATAATTAAATGTTGGAGTGCCCAAAAAAACCCAAACAAACCGTGGAAAACCAAGGATCATCAGGGATGCCAAATCTTCCCAAAATTCCAGCCAACACAGCCCTTTCCATTCCCCCCCCCCAAAAAAAAAAACCAACCAACCAACCAAAAAGACTGGAAAATCGAGGATTTTCTGAGATGTCAAATTTTCCTGAAATTCCAGCCAAAACAGCCCTTTCCACTCCCCACTCCCCCCCCACCAAAAAAAAAAAAAAAATCCCAGTGGAGCCCAGCCAAGGGAAAAGAAGGAATTCCTCATTCCCAGGGGAGCTGCGGGCAGGAATCCCTTTGAAAATCCATCCAGGAAGGACTCGGGGCATCCCATAATTAGTGAGACACGCGGATTCCTTCCCGGGAATCCAGGGGAGACAAGGAGGGATCATCAGGACAGCTCCCAAAAATTCCCTGTCACAAAGGGGTCGGTGCTGCCCCGGCACCACAAAGGGGGGAAGGGAGAGAGCTCATCCCAAAAAAAAACCCCCAGATTCCCATTTCCTGCTCCGTGCTGCCCTTTGTTCCCACAAAAAAACCCCAGGGAAAATGAGCAGGACTGGGAATGCCGACTTTGGGAGTCACTTCTGCATGAGGGAAGGGCCTGGAACGAGAATTCCATGACCGGAATATCAGAATATCTGGAGTACTGAAATATTGGAATACTTGGAATATCTTAATATCTAAATATTGGAATATTTGGATATTGGGATATTTGGATATTGGAATATTGGATTATTTGAATATTGAGATAATTAAATGTTGGAGTGTTGGACTATAGGAATATTGGAATATTTAAACATTTGAATATTGGAGTATTTGAATATTAGATTATTTGAATATTGGAGTATTTGAACATTGGAATTTTGGAATATTTGGAATATCAAGCTCCAAACTATGACCCACGACCTAAATTTCCCGTTTTATTTCCTGCTTTCCCAGGAGCCCGGAGGCAGCCCCGTGATTTCCATTTAATTTCCCGGCTCCACAGGAAATCCCAGGGACAGGGCGCCGGCTTTCCAGGCGGATCCCAACATTCCAAGGGATCAAGGGAGGAACCCGAAGGCAAATCCCGACTCCAGCCCGGATTCCTCTCACTTTTATGGATTCTCCCTGCCCTGAACAACAACAACAACAACAACAATGAACTTTTTAATGCTGAATTCCCTGACCCGAAATCCTGGGAATAAACAGGCGTCGGAGCGTGGGTTAGGCTGGGTTTTATGGGAATTCCTTGGGAAGCTCGGGATCAAGGAGAGCTCCTAATTCCTGGTTGTGTGTGCCCAGTGCAGGGAGCGGGAGCATTAACGTGTGACCTGGCATTAAAAATGTTCTTAATTAGCACCCCAATGTCCTTAATTAACATTTGCGAGGCCCTTTCATCTCCCAGTGGCTCCTGGGAAATTTTGGGGGGGGGGGGGTCATTATTCCCAATTAAAAGCTGGGGAAACTGAGGCACGGCTGAGTCAGGGCCAACCCCGTCCAAAACATCCCCAAATCCCGCTGACACCAAAATCCGGGATCCACCCGCAAAGGAGGATTTTCTGGAAGATTCCGTGGGAAAAGCCACAAGGCCACCTGAGATGGGACAACTTCTCCAAAGGTCGTGGAGGGGCTGGGAATGTTGGGAATGTTGGGAATGTGGAGACCCCAGAGCCCCTCCAGGATCTGCAGGGACTCCAGGGAAGCTGGAGAGGGAATTTTCCTCAGGAATTGCAGGGACAGGACACAGGGAATGGGGTCAGAAGGGGAATTTGGGTGGGATTTTGGGAAGGAATTGCTCCTTGCGAGGGTCCCAGGTTATTCCATGGATTTCCCATCCCTGGAAGTGCCCAAGGCCAGGCTGGACCCACCTGGGATAGGGGAAAGATCCCTGCCCATGGAAATGGGGTGGGATTTTTGGGATTTAAGGTTCCTTTCCATCCCAAACCATTCCAAAATTCCCTGGGCCGGTTTGGGTGGGATTTTAGGGATAAATCCTTCCCTGGCCCAGGTTATTCCATGGATTCCCCATCCCTGGGAATGTCCAGGGCTGGGTTGGAACCACCTGGGATAGGGGAATGTCCCTGCCCTTGTAACAGGATGATTTGATGTCCCTCCAACCCAAACCATTCCAGGATTTTATCCCGATTTTAGTGGATCCAACAGGTCCCTGAAACCCAAAGCATTCCAGGATTTTATCCCAATTTTAAGCAGATCAAACAGGTCCCTGAAACTCAAAGCATTCCAGGATTTTATCCCAATTTTAGTGGATCCAACAGGTCCCTGAAGCCCACACCATTCCAGGATTTTTCCCCCTCAGTTTTCGGGGGATCCGGAGGGTTGGGTGGTGGGACCACGCCTGGCTCTGGGGGCGGCAGATTTTCCACATTCCCTGCTGGAAACAAACCCCAAATTCCCAGGAAAAGGAGGCACCGGGATCTCCCAGCACTTCCAGGAGCTCTTGGACAACTCCAGGTGGCACCAGGAGGTCGCCGAGGCAGGGAGGGGCAGGACAAGATGCGGGACAGCGTCCCCAACCCGGCCACACCCTCCTGTCCCCTCTGGTCACCTCGTGAGCTCCTGCTCATTTTCCTAATGATGGGGCTCATCCATGGCTTTTCCCAGCTTGGATTTCGCTGGACTTAATAAATAAATATTTAATAAATATTTAATATTAAACAAATATTTAATATTAAATAAGTGTTTCCATTAAATAATTTTTCTATTGAATAAATATTTCTGTTAAATAAATATTTCACATTAAATAAAGATGGCATGTTAAATAAATAGAATAGTATTAAATATTTATAATGTGAATTAAAAACAATCATAATAATATTAAATAAATATTTCTTTAATTAAATAAAAAAACACCAAGAGGCAGAAACTCAAGATTTTAATCCGAGGTCAGACAAGAATGTTTATTTAAGTTTATATATATATATGTAAAATAACAGTATATTTCTGTAAATAAATTTGTTTTCAGTGCACATCTTCAACATAAAGTATTTAATTAATTACCTTTCTATTGAAACGTTTATAAAATAACCCTGCTATAACTTTCATTAGTTCGAAGAGTTTTCATTTCAAGTTGTGGTTTTTATCTTAATCAAAGAATAAAAATTTTGCAAGGGACATTTTGGGGAATTGCTGTTTGGGGACTCTGCGGCAGGCAGGGGTTAAAAAAACAGGGAATTCTGGCCACATTCCCAGGGATTGTCCTCGTCACACGGTGGTCACCAGGGCCACTTGGGGGCTGAGCAGTATTTCTTGGAGTGGCTGGAGATCTTCACTCCACCAGACTGCTGGGGGACACACTTGGTGGCACTTTGCTGGGGGACACATTTGGTCACACACTGCTGGGGGACACCGATTGTCCCACACTGCTGGGGGACACTCTTGGTCACACACTGCTGGGGGACACACATGGTGGCACTTTGCTGGGAGACACATTTGGTCACACATTGCTGGGGGACACCGATTGTCCCGTATTGCTGGGGGACGCACTTGGTGGCACTTTGCTGGGGGACACAAATTGTGCCACACTGCTGAGGGACACACTTGACACTCTGCTGGGGGACACACTTGGTGGCACTTTGCTGGGGGACACAAACTGTCCTGTACTTCTGGGTGACGCCTTTGGTGGCACTTTGCTGGGGGACGCACTTGGTCATACCTTGCTGGGGGACACATTTGGTCACGCTCTGCTGGGGGACACACTTGGTGGCACTCTGTTGAGTGACACTCTTGGTCACACACTGCTGGGGGACACAGATTGTCCCATACTGTTGGGGGACACACTGGGTGGCACTTTGCTGCGAGACACAAATTGTCCCACACTGCTGGGGGACACATTTGGTGGCACTTTGCTGGGGGACACCCTTGGTCACACACTGCTGGGGGACACCCTTGGTGGCACTTTGCTGAGGGACACAAACCATCCCACTCTGCTGTTGCTGTGGGACACAAATGCTGGCCCCGCCGGTGTCACACTGCTGAGGGACACACTTGGTGACACACCTGCTGTGCCACTGCTGGGGGACACTGGCGGTGACACTCTGCCACTGCTGGGGGACAGGCGCTGTCACCCACTGGTATGAGACGCCCCGGGCCGCGCGCTGCTGGGGGACACAGGTGGTGACACACCTGGGGACACCCTGCTGGGGACAGACGCTGGTCACGCACTGCTGGGGGACGCACCTGGTGGCACTCTGCTGCTGCGGGACACCCTTGGTGACGAACGGCGGCCGCGGCACGCAGGTGGTGACGCACCTGGGGACAATCTTCTGCTGCTGGGGGACGCACTCAGGCGGTGGCACCTGCAGCTGCTGCGGCACGCACTGGGTGACGCCGGTGACACCCGCGCCGCCCGTCACGCGCTGCTGTGGCACGCAGGTGGTGACACACCTGGGGACAACCTTCTGCTGCTGGGGGACGGGCGGGCAGTAGTGTGGCACCCGCAGCTGCTGTGGCACGCACTGGGTCACCCCCACCTGGTGTGGCACGCACTGGGTGACGCGCTGCTGCGGTGGCACGCACGTTGTCACCCGCCTGGGGACAATCTGCTGGTGCAGGAGGTGCTGGGGCACGCAGGGGGGTCCGTGGAGCTGGCGGGGTGGCACGGCCTGGGTGACACTCTGCTGCTGGCACACGCTGGAGGACGTCGCCCGCTGCAGAGGCACCTGGCCGGGCATGGCTTGGGGGATGCAGGTGGTGGAGTGCCACCGCTGAGCCGGGAAGGGGACACCAGGGGACAGCGCCATGGGGTCCTGGTAGAGCGGAGGGAGGTGCTGGTGCAGGTGGCAGGACATCTTGGGGACACGTGGCAGGACTGGAAGGACACGGACAGGGTTGGAATCAGGTGAGGTTTGAGGTCCCTCCCAACCCAACCTTTTACGTGGCACCTGAGGGAGCCTCTGGTCCCCAAACCTTGGGGACATGTCCCTACTGTGTCACCGCCCCAGCTGGTGGAGGTCTCAGGGACATCTTGGGGACACTTGAAGGACACGGTGGGGTTGGAATGAGGTGAATTTTAGGGTCCCTCCCCACCCGTTTGGTGACACCCAAGGACACCTGGACAGGTGAGTTCCCTGCGGTCCCCACACCTCGGGGACACGTCCCAGCTGTGCCACCGTCCCAACACGGCCCTGAGGGACCCAACCCCTCGTTTTTAACTCTGAACCACATCCTGAAGCCAAGCTGGGGACATCTGGGGACACTCAGCACTGAATGTCATGCAAAAAAACCCCAATTAATTAATTAATTATCTAAATCTTCCCTTGCTCCCAAACTCCCCCTTTTCAGGAGGAAATCTGTGATTCAGGCACTCAGCAGCAAACCCCGAGAATCCTTTCCCACTCCATCACAGAAGTTCCAACCAATCTGTTTTAAAATCCTCTCCCAAATTACATTTTTCATATGGGAAAATCAGGAATAAATCTGAATTTCATAATCCCAGCATCCCAAAGTGCTTTAGGTTGGAAGGAACATCAAAGGTCAACTCAACCCCTGCCATGGGACACCTTCCACTATCCCAGCCTGGCCTGCGACATTTCCAAGGATGAGAAATCCACGGAACGTGCCATGCCAGGCTCTCCTCTCTCTCACAAGGAACAATTCCTTCCCAAACCCAACCTAAATTTCTTCACTTTCACTTTTACCTCATTCCCCCTTTTCCTATCTCTCCAGCTCTTGATGGAAAGTCCTTCCCATCACATTTTCTTGCAGGGGATGTTCTCCCTGGAATCCGCCAATCCCACCCCAAAACGAGATGGTATTTTTCCTAAGACCACCCCAGATCTCTCCCTGGAATCCACCAATCCCACCCCAAAATGAGATGGTATTTTTCCTAAGACCACCCCAGATCTCTCTCTGGAATCTGCCAATCCCACCTCAAAATGAGATGGTATTTTTCCTAAGACCACCCCAGATCTCTCTCTGGAATCTGCCAAAACCACCCCAAAACTTGCTGCGATTTCCCAAACCCACCCCAGGTCTCACCAAACCCCAATCCCAAACCCTGTCCAGCTTGGCCATGGACACCTCTTGGGATGGGGAATCCTCTCCGAGCCACCCCACCAGCCCATTCCCACTCTGGGAATCACGAATTCCCCCCGAATTCCCCATCCCAGCATCTCCAGAGGCTCAGGAACCGGACTCACCCAGCTCCCGGGGGTGGGAAGAGCTTCCAGAGGCGACCAGCGCGTCCCAGCTCCGCCGGAGCTTTTATAGGGCCGCCGGAGAAGCTGCCAGGTCCCGTAAGCCCCGTGGCCTTCCCGGAGTGAGTCGGAGCCGCCGACTCATCCTGGACAATGAGTGGTTCCATGTCAGCTTCCCAGAGTAATTACCTCGGGATAATTAATCCTCCGTGGCACTCGGAGCAGCAGCCCCAGCCCCGGGGCTGTTTGTGGGGACCGAAGCCCTGGATGTGTAGGAATGGGTTTTCCAGGGGGTTTTTCCATCCCTGGGGGGCTCACAGGGGTGGGGTGGTCCCGGTTGTTGTTGGATTTGGGACAGGTTTTCCATGGGCTTCTCCAGCTCCAGGGTTTCACCTCATCCACCCCGCAATGCCCAGATTTTGGGGGTGTTTGGCCAAGGTTTGGGTGTGGATTGCAATCCACTGAGAGAAAACAGGAAAACAAATTCCCCCTTGTGGTGGGTGCAGCTCATTATCCATCAAAATCTTCATTTTTTAATTAAAAACTCCAGTTCTCTCCCCACCCTGTGGTCCCACCCCAGTGTGGTGTCACGGGGCTGAGCACGGCTTTGTCCTGGTCCCTCTCAGCTCTCCTCGGGATCATCAGAGAGAAATTGTCCCTCAGCACCGAGCAGGAAGGGCCTGGATTCATTCCTGGATTCGTTCCTGGTGGAGAATTCCATAATTAAAGGAGGGTTTCACCCTCTCTGCTTCTTCCCCCGTGTGGGGCACAATTACCCAAGAGCTCCCAAACCTTCTGATTCATTTTCGTGTCCGAAATATTCAGGGCCCTTTCTCCTGGCCACAAAAACCAGCTGGGCGGGGCCGTTTGTCTGAGTTCACAAGAAACCACAATTTTTAATAAGAAAAATTAAAATATTCAGGCTATGACCCTCCCTCTGGGTTTGGGCTCCGTGTTGGTGTCACCGGGGCTGGGCTTTATTTTATCCTGGTCCCTCTCAGCTCTGCTGGAGCCAGCAGGGCCAAATTGGCCTTTTTGGGGTTATTTTGTGTCGCTATGAACCCATAAAAGCACTGAGCAGATTTTAATTACTTAAAAAATCCATCTTCTGTTTTTTGGGGTTATTTTGTGTCACTCTGAACCCCTAAAAGCACTGAGCAGATTTTTACTCACTTTAAAAAATCCATCTTCTGGGTTTTTGGGTTTTTTTTTGTGTCACAATGAACACATGAAGGTGCTGAGCAGGTCTTTAGTGACTTAAAAAATCCATCTCCCTTTTTTTGGGTTTTTTTTTGTGTCACAATAAACCCATAAAAGCACTGAGCAGATCTTTAGTGACCTAAAAAAAGGAATTCCTGGTTTTAGGAGTTTTTTAATCTCTGGGAGACAAGGAGGTGAATGCCTGGGGAAGTCACACGGGGCTGGAGGAAGTTTATCAGCTCCTGGAGCTTTTTTGTCACCTCTGGCTCCGGGTGTCCCCACGCGGGTCCCGGGACTGTCACCTGTCCCCAGAGCAGCGGGAATGTGGCCCTGGTGACTCTCAGGTGACCGGGACAGGTGAGGCACAGCCCTTGCACAACCAGCTGGGCTGCCACTCAAAAATAAACTTCCTCCAAAAATCACGTGAGACTTTCTCACTGATTCAACTCCTTATCTCACACAGACTGAAAAAAATAAAAAAAAAAATTAAAAAAATTTAAAAAAACCAAAAACAACAAAAAAACCCCCCAAGAGATTAACTTTTTTAAGTCATTAGAAACTGCTCAGTGCTTTTATGGGCTCATAGTGACATAAAATAACCCCAAAAAGGCCAATTTGGCCCTGCTGGCTCCAGCAGAGCTGAGAGGGACCAGGATAAAATAAAGCCCAGCCCCGGTGACACCAACACGGAGCTCAAACCCACAGGGAGGGGCCAGGGCCTGAGTATTTTAATTTTTCTTATTAAAAATTGTGGTTTCTTGTGAACTCAGACAAACGGCCCCGCCCAGCTGGTTTTTGTGGCCAGGAGAAAGGGCCCCGAATATTTTGGATACGAAAATGAATCAGGAAATTTAGGAGCTCTTGGGTAATTGTGCCCCACACGGGGGAAGGAGCAGAGAGGGTGAAACCCTCCCTTTTTCCGGGAATTCTCCATCAGGAACGAATCCAGGTTTTCCTGGTCAGCTCTGAGTGTCCGGCTCCACCTGGACCACGAGAACGTGGCTTTGTTGTGGTTTCTCTCCTGCAGGAATCCTTTCTTTGATCTGAAGCCACAGTTCCTCTGTGGCTTTCAGCTCCCATTTTTGGAGGCTGGAACCTCCCTTTGACCAAAACGATCAGTTCACATCCATATAAATATAAACCATAAACACATCCAATTTATATAAATTTATATTGATTTTTCCAGGTCTGGACAGAGGCAGGTGGGACACCAGCAGGAATTTCCACCTGGAAAAAGTGGTCAGGCATTGGAAGGCGCTTCCCAGGTGGGAATTCCTGCAGCAGGGCTGATTTTCCATCTCCTGAGGTTTCAACCCAACGCCTCGGACCACACATTGAAAATTCGCCTTTTTTCTCCCCTTTTCTCTCCTTTTGTTCTGCTGCCAGAGTTTCTATTTTCGGAGCAGGGAGGGAGCTCTGCATTCCTGGTGCCTCACCCTCCAAATCCGCGTTCCTGGCTTATTAAAGGTGGGGTGGAGAATCCCCAGGGTCCCACCGGGCTCCTCCTCCCGCGGTTTTTGGGACCTCCCTCCTCCAGCCCCTCCCTGCTTTAACTCCTTTCCTCCACCTTCACCTGGCAGCGGCTTGCCGGTGGGGTAAAAAGGGCAGAATTCCCAAATCCCTGAAAAGAAATCCAAGGTCATTGAGTCCAAGCTCGATCCATACCTGGACACCCAGAAAAACATCCAGGAATTCCTCAGATACCTCCAGGGGTGGCCACTCCAAACCTCGCTGAGCCCCTTCCAAAGCCTTTTCCATTTTCCAGGAGGAATTTCCCCGAATTTCCCCAAATTTCCCACCCTGAGCCTCCCCTGGCACAGCTCGAGGCCGTTCCCTCTTGTCCTGCTCCATTCCCTGGGATCAGATCCCAAATCTCCCCTGGCAGATCCCAAATCCCCCCTGAATCCCCCTTTTCTCCAGGATTAGCCCCATCCAGGGTTTTCCAGACCCTTCTCCAGCTGCTCAGCACTTCCACATCCCTTTTCCATGAGGGGACCGAGGACCAAGTGTCACCCGAGTGTCACCCGAGTGTCCCCAACCACCAGAGCGCAGCATTGGCCCGCGCAGGCGGCTCCTGGAAGATCCCTTGGGATCCTCCCTCTTTCTCTCTCTGTGTCTCCAGGAAAAGTTTTAATTTCGGGTTTGGCTCAGCCCAACCCCTTTTTGCCACTGGATCTGGGAAGGAGCAGCACGGACTGGGATTGTCCTGTCGGGAATCCGCCCCATGGAGAAGGACCTGGGGGTCCCAGTGGGAAAAAACCTGTCCTGGAGCTGTCCCAGCCTGGGGCGTCCTGGGGACAGCAGGGACAGCGATCCCAGGGATCAGGGAGGGATCCCAGGGATCAGGGAAGGATCCCCACTCCTCTCACAGCCTCCTGTTCCCATTGCTGGGAATGTTGGGAATGTTGAGCCTGTGGAGACCCCAGAGCCCCTCCAGGATCGGCAGGGGCTCC